TAAAGTCAGCTGTGATTGAAGAAGATGAGCTAACGACGATCTCGGAGGTTCATGCGGGAGCGCGTTTGAATGGCGACGTCCAATTTAAAAATCACAATATGCAACTTGAGATTGCTAGAAAACAAACAGACACAAAATCTGAAAATCTCACTGCAAGAGAATGGAATGTTGATTGCTATCATTCTACCGTTGATGTCCGGAGATTTAAACATTGTATTATTAACACTCCATCTTCACCATCTGGGGATGCCTTCCTTTCATTAGATCAGCCGGGTATCGAGAGTCCAAACGAAATTCACCAATACAAACAGAGACAAAAACCGATCAATCAAATGGCATACGAAGAAGAACGTAAAAAATCTGCATCAAAAAATGATTTTTTCATTCTCTTTACGACTGCAGAAAATTGCAATGTCAAACTTCCGAAACACTCTGGAATTGTAGATGGAAAAGTTTTTAGGGACTATTTTGGACCATTTGCTGCCAGAGCATACAAGTCCATTATGGCCAAGTCCACGATCCCTATCCGTGATAAAGTCAAGAACATCCATACCACTTCTCATGGGAATCTTTGCAGAGTAAATCAAATTAACAAAGAACAAGCAAAAACGATCATATTAATAAAACCATTTGAAAAAATCGCGGTCGCAAATGTAAAACCAAAACTACCAATAGATTTTTATTTCAGAAAGGGCCTTCATACGGTTTCTCACATTCTCCCTCGATTCATTTAATTAAATAAGTAAAGTCAAAAATATCAACATTTCATCGTTCCAAAAGGCATAATTTTTTTCATGGCAAAGTTCCATTTCGGAACGCGCACGTGATTTTACTACCTATTCGAAGTTTTAAATAAATGTACTTTATATAAATCAATGGAAAACACTCGATCAAAAATCGTTGAGTTGAAAACTTGAGACTCTGTCTCCTCGTTGCAAGAATTAAATTCTCAACTCATTGCCACGATTGCTGAGCTTAGAAAGGAGAATGTCAAGATTCCCGAACTTGAAAAGAAATTTGCTGAGATTAAATCTGAAAATATGAAGCTGAAGCAGATTGTTGAGGAGAATGTAAAGCGTGATGTTAGAGTCGACAAAAGAATAAAGAGCTTGAGGCTAAGCTTGCAGTAGTGAAACAAAGTTCTGTGGCAGTGAATAGACAACCACAGAATGACTCACGTAGTGAGGATACTAACACATCCAAGGAAGTAATACTAGAGATATTACCAGAGGTATCTGCTGATGATGATTCCGTAGTAGACCAGCTCAAGCAACATGCGCCTGTTTGTAAAGCAAATGATGTGGTATCAGAAGTGTTACCAGAGGTCAACTCCAAGTCACCGGAGGAGAGAGAGATGGATAAATTCTTGAATGAGGCACATAAAAAAAATGTTAGTGATAAAATAAGGCAACCCAATAAGGAGAAGAAGCTTCAACGTGATTTGACTGCTCAGAATCTGGCTACTGCCAGCTCGGGGAATGACCAGAGTCATATGATTTCAGAAAATTCGGAAAGTCTTGAGGAAATCATGACAAATTTGTCACGATCAGACTATGTATATACAAATACCTCCGAAGTATCAGGATTGGAGCAGGATGACTATATTAACGTGGTTGACACAAGTCAAATCATAGAACAAGGTTTAATTCAATAATTGACCCGGAATCAATACGAAGTAGCTTGCCAAAGTAACTCCACATCCTCAGATGATGAAATTAATAAAACTTGTAATCAGAATATTGAAAACTTAATTCCAGGATCCGCAGAAAGTTTATTATATTTGTTTGATAAAGTAATTAAAAAAGGCCAAGAAGAAATTTTGTGTTGGTATTATTATTTCCTTGAATTCGAAAACATAGTCAAAAGTCTTATAGATAATAATATTATTAAGGATAAAACAGAACGAACAAAAATATATAAGGAAATGAAACCTTTTCTACCTCGCATCGCAGATGCTAATTTAAGTAAAAAAACTCAGAGAGCCCAGAGAATTCTTAAATTATTTGAAAAATAGGAGGTGGGCATTGGTAAAATCAGGCAGATCATATATAGCGCAAGCAGTATTTCTGGACTAACCAATGCTCAGATTCAAAATATAATAGATCATGTAACATCAAAAACCATAACAAATCCATCATGATCAATCCACATATCTCCGAAGATTAAAGTAAATATTCTGACCAAATCGTTAACTTCTGACCTAAATGCATCAAAGGCACAAGCGAGGAGGCAAGGCTTGGATTCAGTTAAGGTAAGTGTATTGGATGCCTTATCTTCATCTCAATCTAAGGAAACTCTACCTAAAAAACAGATTAATCACAAGAATAACCACGCGAATTTTCTTAAGAGCAATATCCCGATATATTTTATGAATTTAACGATAAAAATATTGATTACTATGGAGGCATTATGCCCTTTATGCAAATTAGACTATGATAATGAGAAAAGTATAAAAGGAGAATATAAAGATGAAACTTACTATATTAAATGTGAGCAAAACGAAATTCAAATAACTGCATAAAATCTTACCAATTAATTACTTTCATTGTAGGTGGAGGGTATATCCCGGCGACTCACTATGTTTGTTGTCAATAGATCAGATAATAAAGCACATATTTTTTTCCGTTGTTGGGCATTGAATCGATCTGAATGAACAAAGTAAATTGTTGGGGAAGTAGTTAACTATACAAATCTTGGTACGAGCTTGCTAGTGAACAGGGATATTTTTAAATACGTAATATCAAAGAAATTAAATTGATTTGAAATTATATAAATAATAACATGGATATATAAGCCAAGTCTGATAATATATCGGTATTCCAAATTAACTGATTTTCCAACTGCTATATCTGACAAACTTCGTTCTAAGTTATATAAAATATATAGGTAGAAATGATCACTATTTTCTTAATTGCCCTTTTTGTATTGATCAAAAAAAAGTTATAATTGCTATACAGAGCTTATCGAAAATTCAAGTAAGTGTGACAAACAAATCTCACCTTTATCAGCTAGAGGCAAGCTTACACCAATATGCTATTAAACATAGAATGGATTCCAAGAAATTTGCGGTCATTACTGAGACTGAGAAGAAAAGATGAAATAAAGAATGTTTTCGTGAGGAATTGGAAAGGGATATACGGTTCCATTGCAGTGAAATAGAGAGGAAAAAAAATATAAAAAATATCGCAAATTTTTAACAGATCGAGATAGGCTGGTTGGTAAAGAGTTATTATGTCATAGTATACTAAAAAGTAGTTTAAATACTGAATGACTCGATAATCTTATGAAAGAATGGAAAAAAACTTATAATCAATTTGTACAAATTTTCCCTTCATATGAGATAACATCGAAGACAGATTATATCGTATAATTAGAAAAATAAAATTTGCTTTTGTTAATAATTTAGATGTTTGGAGTTGCAATATATATTTTTCGGCTATTGCAAATAAAACCCAGAATTCAAGCATTTGGTTGAGATCAGGATGTCACATGAGTGGCGCAGGATAGTATTGGTTGTTAATTATTTGACTTTTTGGAACTTATCCTCTCCAGCTTCAAAAAAAAATAGCATGAACCTTTAATATTTAATCTTACATTATCCAGCTGATTGGTAAGAAGTTATTACATCACAGTATACAAAAGAGTGATTTAAAATTTTTGTGTCCTGATACGGAAAAATGCCAAGAAAAATAAACATTATAGATATATTTACAGTATATACAAAAATCTTTATTAACTCATAATGATCAGTATATTAATATTTGTCTATTTACACTTAAATTTTTTGCTATATAAGTATCAAATTATACCTCATCTGGTAATGGATCATCCACTCTCAATGCACATTGGACATGTGCCAAATCTAAAAAAAAGTAGAGCAATTTATCGATGCACTTTTGATAATTGGGATTATAACTACTTGTGGTATTAAAACTAGTATGGAAATAATTATAATTCATCACGTCCGTTGCTTTTTCCACAATATCGAAATTATCTACTAATCCTAGGTGATGCAAGGTCTGGCTATTAATCTCAACAACATGTGATGAACCTGGATTAAAAATATTTGCTGTGATATTCATACATTATCTAGCAACAAGATATTAGAGATGTTGATATTTTAATCAAATAAACAATAATCTGTTTAGCATATATGAACAACATTACTTTAATAGCTACAATTAAGTCAACTTATAATCAATTAGCAATACCTGTTCCAATTTCTTCTTTCTTAATGATATTAATATAAATATTAACAAATTACATCTAATAATTATCAATAATTCTAATAGCCAATCAAACTTTATAAATCTATAAAATAACAATATACAGTATATGCCTTACTCTTTTAACAATCAATTAGAATCTTAAAAGTATAGTACAATGAAAAAGAAGACAAACAATATCAAATTACCTTATCAAAATCAATCAAGTTTTAGATCCTCAAGATGAACCTAATCTCACCCAGTTTTTGATAGGATGTGCTTGAATCCGAAAGATGTAAATTTGAGACCTGTAATGAAATCTGCTTTTTATTCATCATGTAATTTCTTATTTTTACTATACATAAAAAAATGAAACTCCTATTAAAGGTATTACGATAAGATTTGAGATGGATCCACTTCTTAATTTGATATGGTTTAGTAGTAAAGAATTCTTTTTTAACACGAAATAAATATTCTAAATTTTTAAATAAAGCATTTATAATTATAATTTACTCAATAAGACCCAATTCTCGAAGATACTCTGGGATAACTATATATGGGTTTTCGTAATACCAGGCATATCATAAAACGATCCAGTTTTCTTCACACAATTCTTTCTTGAGTTAATTCTTGTTCTTGCCGTTTAATGAAATTCTTTAGGTCTCTATGAAAGAATTCGACATATTTCTCATGCTCTTGCCCTTGTACTTCGATTGCAAAACCGTATTCCGGGTAACAAATATCAAGTTCTAATACTCTTGAATGCTCTGATGTTTTAAATTGTAATTCTATATTTATAAATAGATTATTGTTTTTTTTAATAAGGATTTTATTATATAATTTTATTATTATCTATAATATTTCTAAAGTTTTGTTTATAACTCCTTCAATAAATCTGTATATTGATAATTATTTTCGAAGGTGGACTGGAAATTTTCTAGTGTGATCCTAAAATTTATATTATATATGTATTGTTTAAAAGTTGGGTCCGAAAAAATCACATCTAGCATTTTTGTTGCCTTCAAAAATAATGACCCATATAATATTTTCTTTGAATATAAAGTTAATAACTTATGAACTCTGGTAGCTTAACTATTAATTTGTTTTCTAGGTTATTAAATCAAATTGGTTTTTTTCTTTTGGATATAGATTTTGGAATTATAATTTGTTACCAAGGGAGTAATTGTATATACAGGGGTATCCAAAATTATTTGGAATTTTTCTCAATATGTATAACTCAGTAAAAACTTATTGAAATTAAACTTAAATTTAAATATAAATATATGAATACTATAAAATTACTTTTACTTATAACTAGTTTATAGATTATATTACTATTATGATTTTAAATAATTATTTTTAATTAAAAATTTTATGTTATATATTAATTTTATAACCTGATTTTCATAAAATTTAAGTTTTTTTATATGATTTTATGTTTTTTATAATAAATAATATAAAATTAATATATTTTTAAAACATGATATTAAAATATATACAGTATATACAATATATAGATAATATTACTAATTAATATAAAATTATTTTAATTAAAATTATTTATTAATACTAAAAGATTTATATTTAATTTTTTTATATTTTTTAAATTTATATTTATTAAATAATAATACAATTTTCAATTTTTTAAAAAATTTTTCCAAAAAATTTTGGCTACCACTGTATATCACTTAAGAGAAACTTATTTTTAGTGTATTAATAATATCTTTATAACGTTTTACGTAATTTAAATAATTAGTAAATAAATATATAATTCTTATTTTTTGCATCACACTGTAAATCAAATAATTTTAATAATTAAAATAATCCGAAATTTATATTTAAAAAACAAGTATATAATAATTTTTTAATCTTAATCATAATTTACACAGTACTATATTTTTTATTATAAATCACGACAAGTAATTTTACGGTATATAATAAATTACATAAGATACTGAATATAGTTTAATTACCTTCGCAATGCGTTTTGAGATGAACGAGACTTTATATCTGTATTGAAAATAGGGTAGCTTATGATCTGATGTATAATTAGGTTTTTCATTAAAAGGATTTTTTTTTGTTTAGTGCGAATGTATTTCTTGTCTATATATAAATCTCTGGACCTGAATTCATATGAGTTCGAATAAATATATAAATTCCCAGTTTATTATAAAATTTTAAAACGTGATATTATACTCGGAAACAATTATTATTACATGCATGAAATAGGCCTTTTGGTTATTTTTACGGGATCCTATAACTAGTGTCCCATTCAGGTTCGAAATATTCCAAATTAGCTTCATTAAAATCTTCCGAAGGAAACACTGGCAAACCATCTGAAGAAAACAGATTTTCCGTATCGTTTCCAGGATTACTTAGGAGCTCTTCATGAATTAGAATGTCGAATTTTTCCTGAATATGAAAGTCCTCTATAAGAATTACAGATCAATACTTCAATAAAAACGGGAGTATAAATAAACTTTACCAATCGCGCCTCATCTATCCATCCTCCAACCAATGCCACTCGTTCTTGGTGCGACATTTTGAAAAATTGTGATAATGTGGTAGCGGTCAAAATAATTTGAGCCGTAAATGGATTGATTAGTGGAGAAAGGCATGACAAAAATCTTTCATGCTTCATGTTGTTACGATGTTAAGTATTCATTGTAAGTAAAGTGATGAGGTATTGTTTTAATGGAAAAAGAAGAAAAAGGAATTACCAAACTTTCTTCCATAGTCATCCAATCTCTGCTTTCCCATTGCTGTTTACTTGTCCATCCCTTTCTCTCACTTTCTTCGTCACATTTTGCCGCACAAAATTCACCCACCATTCTCACGAGCCTTGCCGAAATTTCTTCACACGGGGAAAACATTATATGTGTATTGTATAAACAACACGTCAAAATAATTTGCAATTCGGTCAAAGCTTTCAGCACAGGTAAGGTAAAAAAATAGGGAAGTGAGAGCGATTCTGTATCGTTACTAGATGGTCGGTGATTCCATGTATAACTTTCCAGTATCAAATAAAGATTGGGATATTTTTGATGAAGGCGCACCAAAGTACGAGCAATCTTCGGGACGGAATGTTCTTGCGAAATTAAATTAAGAGGGTAGAAGATAATACCGGTATTTTCATCTAATATTACGTCACACTCTACGTGAAGCGTTTCGGATTCGATATCAAGTAATAAAGGCTAAAATACTTTTGATTAAGTGCCTTCAATTGTGATCATTAAAAAGAATCATACAAATCAAACTCTTATGCACACCCTCATATACTCGAAATCCCTTTCCACAAATTCCAATTTGCAGTTGACACCCCTTGAGGAAGTTAAAAAGCCGCGGTTCGCCAACATTCGAACCGAAATAATATACTTGTGTACATTCATGGGCATCGGTAACGTATCGATAATATCCTTTGTCATGGAACCTGAAAACAATGAAGATAACATTATAACAATGTAGAGAGACCTTCGTGAAAAACATTAGATACTTACATATCCGATTGATTTTCTGAAAACCAGATAAATTTTGGTGACCGCTACTGTCATTTATTTTAAACTGGGGCCCAATTGAAGGAACCAACTGCTGACTATGTCGATCATCTGGAATCACATTTTCATTAGTATAAAGACAAGGAGTATTACTGATGCTGGGAACTTTAGATTGTTGTTCTATCATTAAAGATTCATGTAAATATTATATAAATTCCATCCCATTATACTAAACTTATATAAAGATAATTTACCATCATTGTTTCTAATTGAAAATTTCAATTTGCTGGGCTCGATTTCTTGGCGCTTACCGGAAATCATCTTTCCTCTCAATAACAAGAAATCCTCAATAGATCTTGAAGCAGAAAATGAATCTGTGAAATGCGCAGGATTAAAAATGCTCTGATCATCCGAAAGGACATCTGCTTCATTATTTCTCGAGGTGTCCTCAACCGAAAAATCAAGGTTTTTAAAATTGTTATAAAAGCCAGTTGAATGATCAAAACTAATCGAATTGTCTAAAGAATTATTCGCAGGCGGATATTTACTATCCCTTATGTTACGTACGAGTTTTTGGATGGTGGAAGAATTCTGAGAAACTTTGAGGTATGGTGACGAATAGTTTTCTAGCATATTGTCTTTTATAGAAAAAGAGTATGTGTCCTGACGCGAAGACGATAAATTTCGAGAATCATTAAAACCGAAATAATATTAGACAAAAATAGGTTGTTTGCCTTAAAAAATGCGTAAATCCTCTACCACTGGAGTCCCCTCGGGTTCCTGATCACTAATTGAAACGTTCCTTAGTCCATTTAAAAACTGTGATCCATTGATATACCGAGTAGTATTATCAAGCATGTTCTTACTGGTAGTGGAATCATCATTCCCTGATACCTCATAACAGGTTAAATCGACGATTTCATGCGAATCTTCCAAATCATTATTTATAGGCTCATGTTCTTTACTCAAATTATTGTCTTTGCCATAATTAGAAAGCCATGTCGTGATTCTTTCTTCATTGCTCATCGTAGGTGTATGCCTTACTATGGACATGCGGTT